AGCCTCTAAACCCTAAACCCCAAGCCCTGAATCCTTAAAACTTAAACCCCTAAACCCCCAAACCCGAAACCCTAAACCCTATATTGGACCCTAATGCCCGGACCTGTTGTCGAAGCCCCAGTAGTCGTGCTGCAGCGTCACGGACGGCTGTGTGCATACAGCACACCACCACCATCCAGCCGGGATCCTTCGTGGGTTTAGGGTGCATGAGGGTTTAAGGTGTTTAGGGTTTAGGGTTATGCCCTAAGGGTCCAAAGAACCCAATAATCAGGTACTTTGGTTGCGGATAATAGTTGTCTTGGTTAACGTTTGGGAGAGTATATGACTATTTGGTACTTGGACCCTTAGGGAGAGGGTTTAGTAATCACCATGTCCCCCTAAACCCTACGCCGGATTTTTGAACGGTTAACATGGTGCCTGCATGTCTTTCCCAAAGGGTCCAAATACCCGAATAGTAGGGTTTTAGGTTCCAAATCCCATTGCCTGAATGGTTTTTGGTATCTGAAACCCTACCTATTTGAGCACTTGGACCCTTAGGATTTATGGGCTTTCATGGGGTTTAACCGGATGCTGTGAATCTCTATTTAGACTGTCATACCATTGCACTGCGATAGACTGCGCCCCTTCAAATAATACAGGAGCTTCAATAATCGAAATAGGGACTTGAGACACAGTATGGTACAAGCCTGTTGGGACACTAAGTCGGATAGTCTTACCTACGAGTATCGTATCCGTTCTAGTTCTTTTTGAAATACCTTATAGGATCCTAAATAACCCTAAACCCTAAACCCTAAACCCCTAAACCTAAACCCTTGATAAACCGAAGAAAGGGAACGTCCATGGAGACTACCTGTCGTCAAGACTAGAGAGCCTGCGGAGTTGTATCCAAACGGGCTAGGGGGCCCCTAAACCCTAAACCCTAAACCCTAAACGGTTTAGGTTTAGGGTTTAGGGTTTAGGGTTTAGGGTTTAGGGTGTAGGGTTTAGGGTTTAGGCCCAGAAGAATGTCACTAACAATTCTGGGTGCTGTACTGCATGTTTAGGGCTACCTCGGGATGTGGGAAGCGCTCTGCATGGTCCTACTCTCCCTAGAGTAATGTAGGGGCCGAAAATAACTAGAATAACGTTTTGGGGTCTTTTATACGATAGTTATACCAAGGAAACCACCAAAACCCCATTCCAATTATTGAGGCCCCTACAGTACCTCCCTTATAGAACTCTTTAAAGGAACCCTTTCAGGATCCCTCTAAAGGAACCCTGTTCTACTTGAGGCCCTTAAATAAAGAGTTGGCCACAGCGCTTCGTAGCCTGAAGAGATCTGGGTGCGAGGGGCTTCGGCGGGCGCTTGGGTTTCAGGATGCATCCGAAACCGTTTAGGGTTTAGGGTTTAGGGGTTTAGGGGTTTAGGGGTTTAGGGGTTTAGGGTTGAGGGAACTTAAACCCTACAGTTATCACCTAAATGGCGCTAGATGGGTAGTGGCTCTCAAAAATAGGGTCCCTTCTTGCGTCCCCAAAATAGCAAGGGACCCTAGTTTAGAGAACTACTCAAATCCTACACCCTCGAAACTCTTGCATCACCCCTAAACCCTAAACCCCAAACCTTAACCCCTAAACCCTAGCCCCTAAACCCCAAACCCTAAGCCCTTAAACCCCTTAAACCCCTTAAACCCCCAAACCTTAACCCCTAAACCCTAGCCCCTAAACCCCGAACCCTAACCCCTAAACCCCTTAAACCCCAGACCCTAAACCCTAAACCCCAAACCCTAAACCCACGGTTTAGGGTTTAGGGTTACCCTAAACCCTAAACCCTAGGCCCTAAACCGTGAAGTAGCCGGGCCGAGGGGCACCAAGGTCTTTCCTTCACCGAGCAGCGACACCTGGGAAGACGGGAAGACGGGGGTGGGGTGGGGGGGTGGGGACCTTCGAGTTTTGGGAGTTTCCGAAAATTAGGGTTTAGGG